AGGACTCTGAGGAGTCTTCTCCAGCAGCACAGTTCGAAAGCCTCAGTTCTTTGCTGCTCAGAATCCTTTATGGTCTAACTCTCACATCTGTATACGACTACTGGATAAACCATAGCGTTGACTATACAGATGCTATATGTTCACCAGGGCTCACTCTCTATACCTCTCAGCTGGCATGTGGCCCAGCCAGCCAAAGTTGGGGGTGATAAACCAGGGATTGAGGCCAAAGCTTCATATTAAGAGAAGAAGTATATTTTCCCTGAATGAATGTCCCCACTGTAACTGGCCCTCTTGAATCTCTGGCCAGAACATTAAGGACTTAAGGATGTGGGATTTTCACCATGATTCCTAGCTATCTTTCTTTGAGAACCTAACTAATATCCTATACTACCGTCCTACCAAATGCTGTCACGTCTCTTTTTCAGAAATTCACCAGCCCCAAGACATTTCTTTTCATTTTCAGAATGCTCAAATTATGCAGTGTTCTTCTCTTATGTTAAGCCCAAATCTGTTTCTGTTGAGAGTCCAATTATGAACTCTAGATTTGCCTGCCAAACTGGTTCCTCTATGTGTCATACAACTCACCAAAATTGGGACACAGTTATCAGGTCTCCTCTAAGTTTTCTCTAGATCCTCTTTGAGTTCAGAATTCACTTTCTAAGTAGCGCCTCTTTGTTAGTGAATGCTACTGCGGTTCAGCCCAGACCCCATTTCCTCCACCACATCTCCACTCCCCAGCTACTCTGAGTGTTGCTGTTAAGAGCGTACAGCTACATCTTTAGAAAACTGCCCAAGGCTGATGGAAGCCACAGCAATGGAGATGTGGTCATTCCTTATCCAGGGTCAGCCTTGGCCAGTGACTGACAGATACCCAGGGTAGGGGGCAAGTTGGCCCAGTCTCCTTGTCTCATGGTGGGAAACCACACCCACACCTTAGTCCCCTCCTCTTTCTTGAGATTCTTCCCACAACAAATCACTTGACAAAAATCCCCATTCCAGGCTCTTCTAGGAAATTTGACCTAAAACATTTTTATGTGTTTATTGTTTATGTGCTTACTCAGGTTGCCACACATCTGTTTGACCAGCAGGATTAAAACAGTCTGCTGAGTCCCAAAACAACAATGCATAAAAGAGAGAGGGAGGACAGGTTTGACTAGTTTTGTGGGGTCAGAGTCAAGGCTGTAGGAGGCCTAGGCTGCAGCTTCCACCCCATAGATGCTTTGCAGAAGGCAAAAAACCCAATTCCCAATGACTCTGTTTTAATACCCCAGTCACACGGGGTAGATTGATTACAGAAAAAATGGCCCTGATTTTCCACCCGTATCTGTATACACAATAATGCAATGTGATTGTGCAGTTTCTCTAGACCAGACACACAGTGTGTTCCCACCCCTTGAGCCTGGGCTGGTCTGTGACTTGTTTTGAAAGACAGAATAAGAAATAAGAAATGGTTTTCCAGCTCCAAGGCTCACCTCCAGTGCCTTTGAGCACCCTTCTTCCTTGGACCCTTAGCAACCACCATGTGACCATATCCAGACTAGACATGTGACCCAGCCATGCCATCGTCCAGCCAGCAGCCAACTGACCACCAAGCACGTGAGTGAGGCTAGTCTCAAGCAGACATCCTCCACCTGATCATGGACTCACAAGCAAACACAGCAGAGGTCAGCAGAGCCCTGAGCAGAAGGACCACCCAGCTGAACCATACCTTGAGAACCAGCAATGACTGTTTTTGAAGATGCTGAGTTTGGGGGTGCCTTGCTAGGCAGTATTACTGTGGCAACAAATACTTTCACAACAGATGTCTCACAGCTTCCAGACTCTTCTTGGAGAAACCCAAATGTGGGACAGAAGCCTTAAACTTCAAACTACAAGCAGCTCTGCATGTCTGATTTTGGACTTAAGGTGGGATTACAGCTCAGAACTCTAGCAAGTGCAAGAGTTCTGGTAAACAGAGGATACAGTGCCTGAAGCAGGGGCAGTCTTCAAGCTCAGAGAACTTAAAGCCTTCTGTTCAGTCACAGGGGAAGTGAAGAGAAGCAGGTTCTATTTCTGGTCCATGGTCCAGCAAAGGTACCTGGGAAGCCAGCACAAATGATATCAGGGAAGTTGGCTAATACAGCCAACAGGTATTTCCATTTAATAAAAGATGCAGCATAAAGGAGGGAAGAGGCGAGGGGCTCAGAAACGCGAAATCTGAGGATAAAATCTGAACTAGGTGTTCTATTTTTGTAGCTTTAAAATTTCTTTATTAGGAGGTAATAAACATCCAGTAATTTGTACAGATCTTTACAGTTCTGTTCAGATCAACATGAAAGCATTCTCTAGCGCCCAGAAGGTTCCTTTATGTCATTTTGCAGTCAGCACTGACCATTTATACAGAAGTAACCGTGTTACTTAGTTTTGCCTGCTTTTGAACTTCATATAAGTGGAATCATACAGCATGTCTGATGTCTGCTCATCATTTTGAAACCAAGCAGGACCCTGCAGGGGCCACCCCAGTTGACCAGAGATATATGGCACAGCTGTAAGCCATTCATGGTTCCTTCTGTAAGCAAGACCTGATGGCTGCTTGGAATCACATGATTGAGACAATTATCTCTGAAAATAGAAGACTGCCCCCTCCCCCGCATGTAAAACCCTTTCCCTATAAAATCCAAGCAAATATGGGGAGTAGAAATTTGGTTCTTTGAGACCTAAGTCCACCTTCTTCCCAAGACAGCCAGCTTCCTCAATAAAGCTGCCTTTCCTTTTGCCCAACTCTTGTCTCAGTACTGGATTTATATATCAGGGTATATGTTATGGTAGTTTGTTCATTTCTTATTGTTCTGTAGTATTCCACTGGACTTCCCTTGTGGCTCAATGGTAAAGCATCTGCCTGCAATGCAGGAGACACAGGAGATCTGGGACCGATCCCCGGGTTGGGAAGATCCCCTGGAAGAGGGCGTAGTGACCCACTCCAGTGTTCTTGCCTGGAGAATCCCATGGACAGAGGAGCCTGGTGGGCTACAGTCTATGGGGTCACAAAGAGTCGGACATAACTGAAGCAACTTAGCTTGTACGCACATACAGTATTTCAGCATATGAATACAGCCCAATTTTTTATTCTATTCTATTGCTACTAGACAAAATGGGTTTTTTCCAGCTTTGCCTTTATAAATAGTCTTGCTATAAACATTCTTACACAATCTCCCTTAGTATCTGCAGGGAACTGATTCCAGCACCTGCTCTGGATACCAAAATCCACAGATGCTCAAGCCCCTTATATAAAATGGCACATTGTATCTGCAAATCCACATCCAATCTCATATACTTTAAATCATCATTAGATTATTTGTAATACCTAATACAATGAAAATACTATGTAAATAGCATTTCCCATGCATGGCAAATTCCAGTTTTTCTTTTCGGAACTTTCTGTATTTTATTTTCTGAGTATTTTCAATCTGCGGTGGGTAGAGCATGTGGAACCCTTAGATATACAGGGCCAACTCTACATGCTTTTTGACGCACATACATACTCTATTTTGAGAAAACAATAGATTTCAATCAACCCCTCTTTTGTCCATCATAAGGCCTGGGAAATGACCCAACACCCTTGTTCACCTGCTGACAACAAGCTGCTTAGAAAAGAAATTGCATTTGAATCCACTTTCAATCCCTGCTCTGAGAGGTGAGAAAGGCAACGACGAAACAGGAGAAAAAGGGGAGAGACAACTTCAGTGACAACAGAAATGATAATCAGTCTTAGCTTCACATTTTCTCTCTAGTAGCTGTCTAAGATGCTGAAAATAATGACATTCATCTGTATCAAAGATTTGAAAACTCTTTTAAGGATGCAAATGTGCTTTTTAGAAAGACAAACAAAAGATAATTAAAATGCTACAGTTCCTGTGTGCTTCATTATGTTCAAATTGTCTTCTTATTTACTAGCCCCTCACTACTCAAGAGTCTGGAGAAGGCAATGGCACCCCATTCCAGTACTCTTGCCTGGAAAATCCCATGGACGGAGGAGCCTGGTGGGCTGCAGTCCATGGGGTCCCGAAGAGTCTGACACGACTGAGCGACTTCACTTTCACTTTTCACTTTCATGCATTGGAGAAGGAAATGGCAACCCACTCCAGTGTTCTTGCCTGGAGAATCCCAGGGACGGGGGAGCCTGATGGGCTGCCGTCTATGGGGCCGCACAGAGTCGGACACGACTGAGCGACTTAGCAGCGGCAGCAGCAGTACTCAGAGTGGTCCACAGACCAGCAGCATCCATCAGCTTAGAGATGTTAGAAATGCAGAAACTCAGGACTCACTCCAGATTTACGGAATCAGAATCTGTGTTTTAACAGGCTCCTCAGGTAATGTCCTGTACACTAATTTGTGATTGTTATTTGTTGTTTAGTGACTAAGTCGTGTCCAACTCTCTTGTGACCCCATGGACACAAGACACACCTGCTAGACTGCCCTGTCCATGGGGTTTTTCAGGCAAGAACACTGAAATGTGTTGCCATTTCCTTCTCCAGGGGACCTTCCAGACTCGTGGATTGGATCCACGTTTCCTGCGTTGGCAGGTGGATTCTTTACCACTGAGTTATCTCGTAAGTCCATGAAGCCCTCCAATATTCCTTATGATACTCATAAGACCCTGAAAAACAGAGACGAGAGGAGTCCTTGTTCTCATTTTACAGGTGGGAAAATCAAGGCACAGAAATGTGACCTTGAGGCACAAGAGCACCCAGCTGGTTCCATGTAGGAAAGGTCTCTGGAGGGAAGATGCTGATTTTCATTACCTCACTCTGATAACCATTGACATGCCTAACACATTATAAGGTCAAGCCTGTTCCTCTCTAGAAAGCGCTGTCCTGATGGGATGTGCTGTGGCCTGAGTCATTCTGCTTGGAGGCTGACATGAAAAGCCATCAGGAGGACAAGCGTGGCAGCATGATATGGGGGCGGGGAGGACGGAGTAAAGGAAAAAAGTGAGGAGACTCGTGGATCAGCAGAGGGACATGGAACAGGGCGAAGCGGCGCCAGAGAGATTCCAAGCCCACGGCTTTGCTTGCTCCTTCCTCCCCTGCCAGCAAGCCAGAGAGCTGTGCTGTGACGCAGTCTGTGAGAGGCTATTGGCAGCCAGCCTGGAGCTGGCCGAGCGCTCACTGCGGTGCTCTCAGCCACGCAGGGAGACTGGAGGCTGCCTAGTGCACCTCTCCTGGGTCCCGCGGAGCATCCACACCACCTGCGCCCAAGGGGACCCAGCCCTGCAGCAAACGAAGCCAGCCAGACTGCAGAATGGGCTGGAAAGCTGGGTGCAGTAATGGGAAACAGGTGCAGCGCAGGGCACGCTGGGTTACACCTGCAGGGGTGAGCATTCTAGGACTCCACCGTCTCTTTCTGCCCCTCCAGAAAGCAGTTCCAGGCTGCAGACTTGCCCGTCAGGCTTGGAGACATCTGAATACTCCCCCTCGACTCTGTGACAGTCCAACAGCCAGGATGACTAGCTCAGCAAGGCTCAGGGTTCATACCAGTGGATATGCCCTGCAAATCCAGCTGGAGGGGCTGGAACATACCCAGGGCTCTGCCTGCCTGGGTGCTGACATAGGAAGACTCCGAGGAGGCCTACAGCTCCCCCCTTGGTACCCCCACGGATGTCAGATATCAAAAGGACAGTTAGCAGTGGCCTTCCAAAGCCTTGGTCCGATTTTTTTTCCAAACCCCAAATGCTGGCTCTGATGGCAGAGGTTCTAAAACAGGCTGGTGAGGCAAGTAACGAAGCTTATGGGCTATAAAACCACAGTGTATTCTTAGTCATCTCCCTAAATCTGAAGACGAGAACTCCCATTGCCGCCTTGAACTGCGTCCTCCCTGTTTCTCCCGGCTGCCATCAATTATCCTCTTTCCCCAGTGCTGGGAGATGGCTAGCCCCCTCCGTGAACAGCTGTGGCCTCTATACGCAGTCAGGGTCCGGCTGTTCGGCAAGAACACTGATACAGCCTCCCAGCAGCTAAAACCACACCAAGGTCCAAAGCTGGTCCGTACATGGGAGTGAGTGTTGGTAGGCAATCAGAAGAAAGGAGAGCAGGGGGCAAAGTCACTGAAAGTGATCAGCTCAGAAACTAGCGTTTCTCAGGCAGACTAAGACTCGCTCCCCACGGAGTGTCGCCAGAGTAAATGGTGCCCTTTCCCACTCTCTGATGCATGCCTCTCCACAGTACTCCAAACGGCAGATCAGCAAACTCACTCAAAAGCCTACTGTGACAGTGGAAACGCTTGTAAAAATCTTCACAACAGGAACGGTCTAACACCGTGTGTGTTAGATGCTACGTGGTCAGGGTGTTAATTCCAGATGCCATGTTTCCTGAGTTTGTTTTCAAGCATTCCCCACCTGCCAGATTCAAACCAGTGGAGCTTAAAATTTTTCTTAGGTTTAATCTCTTTTTTGTTATTTTCTCACCAGCCTCCTAGACACTGGCAGGTCACTCATTCATTCGATGAATAATTATTGAGCACATTTCCTGCATGAGTCATTGTGCTGATTAGGCATAGACATGGTTTCTCCCATATAAGAGCTTTCTTTAGTCAACAAATATTTGTTAGCACTACCTGTTCATACAGCACACAATGAGGTTCTAAGGAAGAGAGCATACAAGCCCTGGTGATGCTTTGGTTATATCAGGAGACAAGTGCAAGGTCACAGACAGCCCAATTCTATTGTCAAGGAAATGGACCCTTGCTACAGAAGTGTGGATCCTTTGAAAACTTGTAAGTAATGCAAGTCTCCACTTTCTGAATATTCACTAGCTGAATAAGAACCTGCAATTTAATGTAATGCTCAAGAAATTCCAAGCACAGTGACCTTTGAGGTTTGACAGCTGAAGCTCTAGGTGTGTGGGGGAGACAGATTATTATGCATCTCATGATAACAGTCAAGAAAATGCCCATATAGGCCTTTGCCTCTAAAGAATCATTGGGCTTTGACTGCATACAGAGGGAGCAAAGGATAGTAACTTCCCACTTTCGGGGAGTTAAAAAACAAAGCAAAAAAAAAAAAAAAAAAACATGTCTGTAAACTACAGAAGGCAATAAAATTCTGCAATCACATTTTCCACAACAGCAAAAGCTTTGAGTAAGGTAGGATGAGTTTGCAAATTCATGTGGCTGCCGGTGTCAGGATCCCCAAGTGGCAGCTTGCCCAGTTTGGATAGCTTCAAGGTCAGATAGCCTGTTGTCCTGGAATGGACTGGCCCCTCAGTAATTCCTGGCTCTGCCCAACCTTCCTGTCAATCAAACAGATCGACCAGTGGAAACGGGCTCATTATTTCCCTGCAGTTACTCAGCCAGTTGGCAGCTTCCAGCAGATTGAGTCCTGGAAACGCATCATCTGAACATCAGTGCAGTGGCTGCTTTATCAAGCCGGCCCAGGAGAGCAGATAAATCACTGTGAAGTTGCGATTAGAGGCTGTTTGCACTGTGACTATGGCTTAATATACTGGATCAACCTGAGTGGGTTGCCTCAATTTTACTTGCACTCTCCCTTCCTGCATTCAATTTAAGAATTAAGCTTTTTGTTCTAAATATAAAAACTGAAACAAATGAATAAAACAGATGAAAAAATGACTGTGTTTACTGTTATTTCCTGTTTTCTACATACCAGCCCAAATGTCTGTGTTTCTCCAATAATTTAACAAGAAGATGATGCAGAACTTCACAACACTGTTGAATGCTTTGCTTAAAATTCAGGGCTGTGTTCCACAGTGATAAAATCTGCCCATCCGTTCAGAAGTCATGTCAAGGAGAATCTGCTCTGAAACAGGTAAGCTCTGAAGACAACATGGCCCCAGTCGTCTACATCAGGCAGATTTCTCCTCGGAATTATTTTCTAGTGGCTGGGATGGGCTTATGCCAAGACACCTATGCCCTCTCACCCTTGCAGCTGTGGCTTGTTTTAGGAGGCAGTTGGTGGAGGGGGGAGCTGAGCTAAAGCTGGGAGCAGGACCCAGCTGACTGGTTCACAGGAAATGGAATTTAGGATTCTTGACTCATCAGCTCTATTCTAATCCCGTTAAGCTGATGCTTAACTAATAACATGGCAATAACATCTGTCCTGAACCCACCACCACCCACCATGTCCCCACCAGCCCCAGCTCTCTATTCTCTCTTCTTCAGGAAACTGGAAGCACTGGTCAGTCAACTGATTGTCTTAACCATCACCCTAGGTGTGATTTTAGATTGGTGCGGGCTCTGGTCATGCCTGAGCAGGACCAAAGGCTGAAGCAGGCACCCACGGAGAAGAGGAGACATCTCTTTAAGTCGAGATTCTGCTTTGAGGAAGGAGCTTTTGTGTGGGAAGCTTCCAGCCTCCAGCACTGATCTCACCATTTTGCTCACCCCCTACACACCCCACTCCACCATCCATCAGAGACTGAGTGCGTTGTGCAGTGTTTGAAATGATCAAATGGAACAGTGAGGAATCCGGAAGCCACACAGATAAGGAATGGTTGAAGGAACCGATGGAGCTGAGATGAAAGCATTTCAAATGTTGGAGGCGGCAGTGTGTGAAAGAGGCAGCGGGTAGGTTCCTGAGCAACAGATGTAAGATACTAGCTCAGTGGATAATGTGCCTCCTCACAAAGAAAAGCCCCCCACCTCGGAGGCCAGGCCCTGCCTGCTGGAGTGGAAGCTCCCCGTCTTGACAGGCACTTAAGCCAAAGCTTGGAGACTACCGTACAAGGCACGTGAATTACTAGGGAAAGGGTGGAACAGAACTGTATCATTTCTTTCATCTCTGAGATCCTGGGCTGCATGCAGGGCTCACTTTTGCAGGGTAGATTCTGTGGTCTCATTTTATACATATCCTTCTTTTCATTTACACAGCACTCCAGTTAGGTGGGTACAGTTGTTATACTTTATTTAATATTTTCACCCCATCTGCTTAGGACACTCTTGCCTTAGGTACTGTGTTATTCTCTCCCTTCACAGAACTCTGGTCTTCTTGGTGTTTTATCTCCTCCAAGAGCCTTTTCTCTTTGCCCTTTGGAATGTGGCCATTTCCGCCAACTCTCCATCCTTTACCCTGCTTTATTTGTCTTTATGGCATTTAGCACACTCTACAGCTGTGTTATCAACACACCTGTTTATCATCAGTCTCCTTTAGGAGAACAGAAGGATGTTGGTTGGTTTGGCTCACTGCTCCATCCCCAAGACATGTCATCAAGGTTGTGGTCCATGGCAGAACATGTACATGCAATGAACAAATGAGTCTGTTTTACAGATGAGGAGACTGAGGCACTGGAAAGGGGAAGTAATATCCCCAAGGTTACACAGCAAGTAAATATAAGAGCTAGGATTTGAACACCTTGATTCTGGGGTCACACACAACTGCCCCACATCATTTACCCTTTGAAGAAACCATGTTTTCCCTTTTTTGAGGGGGGTGTGAAATTTAAGATTTTGTTTTCAATATTAGATTAATTAACAGCAGACATCAAAAAATACACAGACAACAAGTGCTGGAGAAGGTGTGGAGAAAAGGGAGCCTTCCTACACTGCTGGTAGGAATGCATGTTGGTAAACCCACTATGGAGAGCAGTATGCAGATTCCTCAAAAAACTAAAGATAGAGCTACTGTAGTCCCACTCCTGGGCATATATCTGGAGGGAAACATCATCCAAAAGAATTCATGCACCCCATTGTTCATTGCAGCACTGTTGACAATAGCCAAAACATGGATGCAACTTAAATGTCCATCGACAGAGGAATAAATAAAGATGTGGTACATACATACAATGGAATATTACTCAGCCATTAAAAAGAAGGAAGTAAGGCCATTTGCAGCAGCGTGGATGCACCTGGAGAGTGTCATACTGAGTGAAGTAAGTCAGAGAAGGAGAAATATCACATGTGCTGTGCTAAGTCGCTCAGTCTTATCCAACTCTTGGCAATCCCACAGACTGCAGCCTGCCAGGCTCCCCTGTCCATGGAGATTCTCCAGGCAAGAATACTGGAGTGGATTGCCATGCCCTTCTCCAGGGGATCTTCCCAACACAGGGATCGAATCCAGGTTTCTCGCACTGCAGGTGGATTCTTCACCGATTGAGGCACCAGGGAAGCCCAAATATCATATGACATCACTTATGTGTAAAATCAAAAAAGAAATGATATAAATGAACTTACTTGCTCATTTCAAACAGAAAGAGACTCACAGACTTAGAAAATGAACTTGTGGTTGCTGGGGTAAAGGGATTGTTATGGACTTTGGGAAGGTTATGTACACACTGCTATATTTAAAAGGGACAACCAACAGGGACGTATTGTATCA